TATATATATTTAAAAAAAGTCACACCAGACACAATTAACACAAGCAATTTTAATATCTTTTGAAAAAACAACAACAAAAAAAGCACAAAACTGTGAAAACATAGAGAAATGTACACCTTTAAATTACACAAGCTCTTATAAACAAAATAAAGTCTCTTTCTATATTTACATCAGCAGGGGTTAACGACAGGTGACTCCTCATCACGTCTCACTAAAATAGGATAAACATTTTAAACATGTCATTGATATCCATCTCTGTACACAAAAGCCAGCATCCTTACAACGAGCCCCAACCCCAAGGAGGTCTGCCACTTTGATTTGTCAACTTTGCAGTCAGCCAATGAAGGATTGAGCCAGTCGCACAAACTTTATGTTCAGTCAACAAGGTCACTGAATGATGAGAACAAAGGCACCAAAATTATCCTTGGGTCTAAAAGCTAAATTATCCTTGGGTCTAAAAGTTAAATTATCCTTGGGTCTTGCTACTTCCTGGCATGTTTCCAGGAAGTAGCAAGTCTATTTCGAGCTTTAGTTTATTCAGTGGATCAAAGAATAGAGCTGCTACATTTGTAACACATTCTATTCTACGCATCTATTAAAAAATCTTTACTAACCTTTACTACTGCTACTTAAAAACTTAAGGGTTTAAGGCAGCGGTCCCCAATCCCCGGGCCTCGGACCGGTACTGGTCCGTGAGTCGTTTGGTACCGGGCCGCGAGAGTTGAGGCTCAGGTGTGAAATGTATGGTTTTCAGGGTTTTTAATCGGTTTTCAGCGTTATTTTGTCATCATTTTTATCGTTAGCTCGGTTTTCCTTGGTCTTTTCACGTGTGTTATGAATAACTCTTCTATTTTTCAGTACCGGTACTAGTTTTATTTTGTTGTATTTATCGGCGACACCTTAAAGGCCGGTCCGTGAAAATATTGTCGGGCATAAACCGGTCCGTGGCGCAAAAAAGGTTGGAGACCGCTGGTTTAAGGTATTAAAAAAAAAGACAGATTTGTCTTCATTCTGTTGATTTAGGAATAGAGGGAGTATGCAAAGCTGCTACTGTTAGCATTTCTCCAAAAGCAAGTCAGTCCACATGCTTTCATATTAAAAGACCCAAATTACTAGCATTACAAAGGAAATAAGTTTGGGGTATGGCCACACTGATTGACATGAAGCCACTTAATTCGAGGCACCATGTTTGTTTCTTTTATCCTTTTAACTTAAGTATATAACAAATGGTATACCATAGATGTGATCTATGGTACAGCCTGACATGTGGAAGTCTGTCCTTCCATTTTGGTGAGTGTTCCTAGTATCTTTTTGTCTTCTGCACGAATTGGCATTGGTTTTTTTTTTTTTTTTTTTTTTTTTTTTGGGGGGGGGGGGGTTGCCTAAAAAAACCTAATTGGCAATGTTAAGCAGTCAGTTACACCTGTCCATATTTGTAACTTGCTAGCCAAGCTTGCCAGCATTAGCTAATTACTAATTTAAAAGAAATAACATGGCATCAGTCACAAGTGCAAAACAAATGGGTAAAGTCCCAGTCCATCTTTTACATGCAGACTAACTGCAAAAAACCTAGTTTTGCTTTTTCAGCATGTTAAACTTGCTAAAGAATACACACTAGTAAGTGCTTACGAGAAGTAAATGTTACTAAGGATGCAGGGATGATTATGGTGTCTGGAGTTCTCATTGCTAAATCTACCTTCCTTTTGCTTTGGGTAATATTATATATAAATTTTTATAGATAAACATTTGTTCCCATCATAAGGAAATGGGGGTTTTGTACCAATAAACAACAGCTCTCTCTCCAATCTGAGGCACAGGCTGTGTCCAAAACCACTCCCTAATTACTCTATACTGCACTCTCAGTTTACATCATACACACTCACACACACACACACACACACACACATGTGTATGAGTGTGTGTTAAATGGCATTGCACTACTCAACAATGCAAAATGAAGGTCAGTTGTCCAAAAACCTGCTGCTGACTGCTGTGTATAACAGATCTAAGGCAGGAGAGAAGCAGTGATTAGGGACACAGCCTCACAGTTTTGGGGATGATCTGCCTCTCTGTTACAGGAACAGGAACGTAAAAGACGATGAAAGGAATACTTTAGCCTTTTTAGATGAAATTGACAAACATTTTTAAAGATTAAAAAAAAGCATAGTGATAATAATGATAATAATAATAATAATAATGCTGCGAGAGGCTGCATCTCAGAAGAAAAACACAGCAGACATTTGGATACACAGATACGAGGTGTTCAACACGACATCCAGTAAACATGCAAAGAAGCAAACAGAGGTATAAAAAAATAGGATAGGCTGAAGTTAGCCCACCATGCTGTGGAGAGGGCACTGATGGACACACGATGACAGCAGCATGGCTCAAACTAACAGTGAGATGTGGGAGGATGATGGTGAGGTTGCAGTGTTGATTAATTGTACGTTACTTTTGGGCAACAAGGCCTGTCTGACCAGAAAAAGACTTTTGAAAAAAGCACGTCCTGAACTACCCTGAATGAAGTCCTGCTTTATCAGCTCAAAGCTAGCTTTGCTTTTGGCTGGTGCTATATAAATCTATACACATAAAAGATTGTCGTATATATATTTATATATGGCATGTCACTATTCTGGGACGCCCTTCCACTCCATACATAGAAAGCCAGAGATGGGAGGGCCCTGTGCACAACAGAGCGGCAGATATGACAATGGATTAGTTCAGATTCAGTACATAAGGAGAATCCTGTGGAAAGGTGGTTTGCAAAGTGACTTGCAGATCTGCAACAACTGCCAATTGGATGTGTAGAAAGGCTGATAGCTCAGATCGAACATGGATCATGCAAATTTGGGGAGAAGGATTGTTGAGATAAACCTTTCATGCTAACTCTCCAACTGGTGCAAATGCAGAATAAGAGTGTGCCAAACGCAATCTGTGCTTTTTGTCGTTAGCTAGACTAAGCAAAGTCAGAGAGAGTTAAGCACTCTCAACGCTCACTGCACAGACTCAGGGAAGGTAGCAGCAGTGTCTGCTGGCCAGATGACTGAATCTCTCCCCCTGACATGTTAATACTGCTGCTGCCCTACCTGCTGTTTCAGCCTCCTGCAGGCTGTTTATCCTTTACTTTTAGTGCATCACATTTGTGTGCAGTGATGAGCTTAAAGACTGAACATTTCTAACATAAAGCCTGAGTTACAAACGCACACACATTTAAGTGACAGTGTGCATATAGGATATATTTTTTTCAGCCTTGAACCATCCTATGGCCCGAGGCAACTGTTACTGAATATGACCATTATTTTTTAATCCCGTAAAGCACACAGTACCAAAACTGCTGAAATGCACCTTTAATCACCAAATTATTTTATCCCTCCAGTTTGATTTGTGGTGTAGCTTAAATAGGATGTGTGGCAACAGTAGTAATAACCACTCTTCTCCAGCAGGTGGCAAAGCTGACATACTGAACCCCAGAGTGGCTGATCCTCAGCTGTCTGACAGGAGGAAACAGGCACTCTGCTGAACTTTTAATCAATCTGCTTTAATTCCAGTCCCTGTGGGGGCATTTTGTTTGCCATAAGTCAACATGGGGAGAAAACAAGAAGCAGAAGGGATTAAATGATAAACCTTCATAAATATAACTCCAAAGTTTTGACACAAAGCATGTGATGACATGATACGTGTAAAGGGAAATGATAAAAGCTTGCCTTTATGCGTTTGTGTAGGCGAGGTTTTACTGGAGAATAGGCTAATTTACAACGGGGCGAGTATGACGTTTACTTTTTTATTCCCCCATTCACACACTCCCTCACCATTTCTTTAGTTCATCCTCCATTCCTCCTCTCTGACTGCCATTCATCAAAGAGCAACCCGCCCACCTCAGCTACCCCCCTCTCATCCTATCCCTCATCTTTAATTTTCCTTTTCCTGGGTCCTCTACCAGTTGCCTTTCTTTAGTCCGTTAGGAGCACCAGTTCCCCCTCACTCCTCTCTCCCCCATCACTTTCCTCTCCTTCGCTGTATGGCGGTCGCTCCCTCTTGCGTTCCCGCTCTCTCTCCCTAGGCAGAGAGGTGGGTGTGGTCTGTCCCTCAGCTCTGCGAGGGATGGGCGGGACTTGCGGCAGGTAATGCTCCAGTAGCGCGGGGTGAAAAGGCATGGTAGCGACAGAGACCGAGCTGCTACCCCCTGGGTACTGGCCATCGCTGTGGGGGTAATGGATCTGCTGTGGCTCCGTTTGACTGCAAAGACAGGAAGTGACACGTATATTCAGATATTCTGAGGCATTTATTGTCAATGAAAAAGTTAATCAAAGGCTTTAAAATGCTGATATTGACACAGTATCCCTTAGGAAACGGTGGTTACTGGTGTTAGAGGCAGGTCTCTAGTCCTGTGTGAATGGGGCTTGGCAATCAGTTAGATAGTGATTGGCAGCAACCATTCACCAACCAGCTAAACATCAAAAAGTAGAGTGTTTAATTTATTAGCTAAAGCTAGATATTTATGCTAATCTCCCTCCAAACCAAATATGTTTAGTGTTGTTTAGCTGAGAGTTAGCTTAGCTTTGGTTTTTTTGGCAGTGCTAAGCAGGCAGTATATATAAACACAGATTACAATATCATGAGAGCTGTAACACCAGAGTGTAAAATAATACGTATATTTTAAAACTGGTCTTTACATTTTCACGTCTGTGTTGTTTGTATGCGTGTGTGTATGTTTCGCTGCCATGGAAGCCGATCTGTTTCGACATCACAAGCGCTGATTGGGTGAAGCGTCTGTAGTCACGCTTCATGGCGGTAAGTTGTTTTTTGTAATCTATGTTTTAATAAACCACCTTTAATGGTTTAAAAAACTTTGACAAATATCAGATCGTTGTTTTGGATCCTCTTCGAGCGGGCAAGGCTCCCGGAGCGCTCCCGTTCGGCCATGGCGAATACTTGTCAACAGATCCTAAACCAGCAACCGAGTCTAAGGGTAAGTGCTCGAACAAGTCTGATCCGCAGCAACTCCACCTCTTCGTTTACAGGAGTTAAGGGTTCTGCTGCTGGTATCTTGGTGCGTGACACCACAGAGCACCTTTAAAGGTCCTGTTGGAGCCCAGGCCTCAACAGGTTAGAGCTGTTTTAACGCTAAAATGGTAAAACCCAATGGCACATTAGGCCAATATTGTTCTCCTTCATAAGTATACGAGCCAGTCAGTCTACCAGTGTCTTCAATATGAAAGAAACAGGATTGAAGCTTTAGGCCAGTGTGACACCCTGATATTGATGTTTTGTTTCTATAAAGAGCCTAATAGAGACTACATGTGCTAAAGCAAAGACAAACAAGAGTGAAACAGAAAAGCACTTCAAAACAACCACTGTTAACATTTCCAGCCTCCAACTCCTCCAGCTTAACTAGAAGGAGTTAGAGGGACCAATAGAGAGGGATTCTATTCATTGTCGAGGACACAGTGAACAGCCCAGCTGCAGTTGCAGTACTCCACTTTTGTTTGTGTCTTCAAGAATAAAGGAGGATAAAAAGGGGGGGCTTTGAGAGCTGCAAGCATTGTCTCCAGTGTGTGGAGGTGCAGCACAAACTCTTGTCAGGGGATTGAATTGTCAGTGTTTTTCTGCCAGGGACAAATTCTTTCGCAAGTTGTTTCTCAAAGCCGCTCAGACTCTACCTGTGCCCGTAGGTCCCTCTCTGTTCCTGCCGGCGGCTCTTCATCATGGCCTTGTACTCGCCCACCCGCAGCCGCCGTCCCTCCACTATGCAGGTCCGTTTGGGTCGGGGTTTGTATTTGTAATCGGGGTAGCGCTCCAGATGCTGCCTGCTCAGCCTCGCCTGCTCTTCGTAGTAAGGCTGCTTCTCCTGGTTAGACATGGCTTTCCACCGCGAGCCTACAGACAAAGACGCATCAACACAAAGGAGTGAGTTCATGTTCTCCAGCAGCAGAAGCTGTCATGGCTCGCCATGTTTCATTTCTTGTGGGGTTTTTGAAGCATTTGTCCCGTGTTTTATGTGCTACTCTGCCTGCATCTACATGTTGTCTTACTTTGGTAATTATCTTTCCTTGCACACCTTTTGTTATTTTACTTCCTTTTTGTCTCCCCTCTTTTGTAATCATCAGCCCTGCCCTCATTGTCCCACCTGTTCCCAATTAGATCCCTGTTTATTTATCCCGTCTCACCTTCAGTCTTTTTGTCACTCTTTCAGTTTTTCCATCTGTTTACTCTCCTGGATTCCAGTTTCTCGATTAACCCAACCTTGGAGTTTTCTTCCCCCTCATTGTTCTCTGCTGTAAGTTTAAGTAAGCTGCTGAAAGCTTGCCCTTTTGTTTGGTATCCGGTTTGCATTGTCCTTCATTCGGATCCTCCTTTTGTTAATCCATTAACAGAATGGTTATGCAAGAGAGGAAGCTTAAAATGCTTGTCGGGCCCACGTGGTTTCATTTTTGTTCTCATTCATTCAGATTTCGACAAAAAGTTTCAAGCAGATTTTATTAATTTTTTATGCACCTTTAAACTCCCATCAACATTCACTTATCTTAGATGATAGCTCTTTTCCTATTTGAGTCTTCCCAAGGACGCTGCTACAGTGTTAACATCAAAATATAACCAAAAAGAGGCTGCAGTAGCCCTCCTTCTGGATATTAGCAAAAATATCTCTTAATTATGAGGTTTAGTTATCGGGGTTTTACAGTCCTACCTAAATACAGCAATTTTCTTTTTTGGTTCGTCACAGTGGGGGACATTAGTGCCACTATTTTTAAGTCTTTCTTAAGAAGAGAAAGTAAAATTGGCGAAAGATTCAGGCCGTTAATTCTGGTACCTCTGCAGTCTAATTCATCACTGGTGATGAGCCCAACACTAACATCAGACAACCAGAATGTGTCATTTTTGCCTTTATTACTTTATTCTCCCAATTATTGGCAATAAAGTGAAAAAGAAATTTACTCTAACTGACACGTTCACATTTTTGGGCCATCAACCAAAATAAAGGGTTAGTCTATGCTGATAACCTAGACTCAGACGTCATACACGTGTTCCTTTACATTTTGGAAAGTTTCTTTATCACTGCATTTACTGGTAACTCTCAAAGGATTACCTCAAGACTGAAGAAAACCTAAAAAGCTGCTGATTCCCCAGCAAGTTCCAAAGAATCTCATCTTTCCTTTCTAACCATTCTTTCACTTCATTTCTAAAAATATGCGTTTGTGTTCAGACTTGACTTAGTCATGCCCCTAATTTTTAACACTGAAAGTTCCTGTTAAAATACTCTGAGTCTCTCTTTACAGAGAACATAAATCAAATTGTAGTGAATGGAGACTGCACTGATGCTGCCCTCAAAAAGATCCACACATCTAAATCTCATGTTATGCAAAGCCCCGTTTCTTCGTGTTTTCTTTCCCGTTTCGTTTTTTAACTAACTAACTATCTCGATCACGCTCTCTCACATTCACTGATATAAAGCGCCTTGAGACGACTTTTGTTGTGATTTGGCGCTATATAAATAAAATTGAATTGAATTGAATCTGACTGGTTAAAGCTCACTCATAGTATATGGTGATAGGCAGAATTACCTATTAGTTTCTGTGCCACAAACTACCTGATGCTTCCATAAAGGTTATTCAAAAGCAAACACTTTGAAATAATTCAAGGTCAAAAAGCAGCATGTTTAGGGTTGTGGTCAAAACTATGTTTTTTGCATTGAAAGATAAATATTAGGCAAGTAATCAGTACTATGTATTTAAGCAAATTAGTGGTTTTTATGTGTGTCTGTGTGAAAGATACACACACAAACTCTCTACAATACAAAGGAATGTAAATGTTTGTTTGAGGGAAAGGGATTCATGCCCGTGTGTGTGTGTGTGTGTGTGTGTGTGTGTGTGTGTGTGTGTGTGGGGTTGAAGAAGCAGGTGGGTCTTTACTGCCTCACATGTGCCAGGCAGGGTCTCAGAATAGAGACATAAACCCACCCCTAACCAGTGCTGCTCTCACCCAGGATCTTGCTGATGGAGGAGTTGTGCATGTCAGGGAAAGCTTGCAGGATCCTCCTGCGCTCGTCCTTGGCCCACACCATAAAGGCATTCATGGGTCTCTTTATGTGGCCTGAGGAGGGAGGCGGCCGTGCCTCAGCGTAGCCGCCTGGGACCGAAACGTTCAGGGTACCTACAGTAAACAAGGGTACAGGCTGGCTTGTAAATATGTTACAAATATATAGAGGAATAGCTATTTGTTTCTTGCTGTAAGTGGTGCATGTCTGAATATTAACCTTTTTTTCTTGCAACACTAAAATTGGTGAAAGTTTCTCTTCACCCACAAACATCCAATTTCATATGATTCACATTCTCCATCCTGACGTTTAAACCAAAGACAGGAGTTACTAAGCTTTACAAAGATAAGGTTATTACTTTGATGAAGCTAAATCTGAAGGTCTTGGATATTGTATTTTCATCTTTAAATGTCTGTGCCATATTCTGATGGCACATTAATAAAGCATGTTTGGAAGAAAACATTTCTGCTAATCGTGCTATTTCCCAGAAACAACCAACATTAAACAGGCTCTCCTGATTTAGCCAAGTGGTTGCTTTACCGAGATCAACATCTGAGTGACAGTAATGCCTTTGATTAGCATTTTTCCAATATGGAAGTAAGCTAATATTAGCTTGCATACATGAGCTTGCCTGGTTGCTTCTAGGCAATGCAGATGAGCATTTAGCTAGCTAGATTTTGACAGTGGCGCTTAGGGGAGCGATAAAACAGGTAATTTAATGGGCAGTATTGCAGACTATTAGCTTGGACAAAAGAGAGCCAGAATTCAAGTTAAAGTCACACTAGGTAATTAGCACCTTTTAGTGCTAAAATTAAAGTTAGCACTTGCTGTGTGGATTAGCTCTATGGTGTAATGATATAGGCATATGCCTAACATGTGGAAGGTTCCTGATTAGAGTTCAGAAGGAGACATTAATCTTTTAGAGTTTGTGTCAGGGGTTACATTGGTGCAAAAATCTGCCAAATCTAATATCTCTTGTGGTGATTCCTTGCAAATAAGCACAAAGTGCCTTGAGGTGTTTTGGTGCCATGTAAAAAACCTGAATTGACTTCAAAGAAACTTCTTCAGTGTTCACTTTGTGGCTTCTCTAGCTTTCTCATGCCTGCTAGCAATCTGTTAAATGGTAAATGGACTGGTTCTTCTATAACACCTTTCTACTCTACTTAAGCACTCAAACCACTTTATACAACATACCTCATTCACAGATTCATACACATTTATACAAGCACTTTTTTCTATGCTTTTTCAACTTAAACACTTTCTATGTAGCATTCACACACTTTCACATTCTGATGAACGCATCAAAAAGCAACTTAGGGTCCAGTGTCTTGCAGACTGGAGCAAAACTCCAACTTTCTGATTAGCAAATGACCTATTTTACCGTCCGAGCTAAAGCCACCCAATCTAATCTAGGTCAATCTAAACAGGTTATACTGCATGCTACTTCCATGGAGAAAAAAAATGCTAATTTTAATAAAATTATATGACTCAATCAAATAAAATAAAATATTTGAATATAATGACGAAGATAAATGGATGGGTACCATAATAATATAATAAGCTATCAGGGCAGCGTAACAAATGTTGGTCTCATTACAACAACAACTTGGCAAAACACAGATAGGCATTAAACAGGCTTTTTCAGGGATGCCTACCCTCAGAATCACTGCTGAGGTGGTCCTCAGTGGACGGCAGGCCATGTCTGTTCTCACCTCTCTCACTCTGAGACATCCTCTCATTGCGAGGAGAAACCTTAAAATCCTGCAGACATTAAAAGAACAAAAAAAAAACAAAGACATATGAACTCAGAAATGGTCTAAAGTCACACAAATATTCACACACCAGCACAAAGAGACGATTTAAATTTGCACTGCAGTAAAAAAAAAAAAAAAGGTGACCTAATGTCGAAGAGGAGTGTTCATGGCGCACGTGTTTCACTGGAGTGCTATTTAAGGTAAAGACATGGCACGCATATCAGCCGCTGCTTAAATGCAGAGCTGTAAATGCAAAGACAGGAAATGACAACACTATGGAGGAGGAAGAATGGTATTTATTGTTGGAGGGAGGAAAGGTAAAGAAGACAAGGCAGGGACGGGAATGTGGCAACTCTGAATTTGCAAAACTACCACACCATCAGCGTATTATCTGTCGACCATTCCCCGCGCTGTAAAACGCTATTCATCCACATGCAGCGGTGTGAAGCGCAATACCAAAATAGGTCAGTCAACAGTATTGGTGTTAACACAGCCGCCAAGGCGAGATGGAGCAGGATAATGGAGGAGAGGAGGAGGAGGAGGAGAGCCACAGATTACAGTATTACTGTGGACAAAGAGACAGGGCAGGTGGCTCAGTCAATGCCACACTGAGGCCTTTGTGGTATTGTAAGGCTGCAACAGCTGTTGCTTAGGACGGAGCAGAGACCAAAGCTTTAGCCACCTTAAAGAACAAAAACGTAAGAACCCAATAGAAGACCATTTTCACAAGAAGCAAAACAAAATAAACAGCAGGTTCTCGAACAAAATATGCAATTTTGAGATAGTCTAGTAGCACTTACAAACAGCAGTTTACAGTTTACTCAGCTGACTTAAGCTGTAATAATGTGCTTCTGCATGTGGGTGCGGATCTATTGGATACTCAGGAGGAGCGCAGCACCATGTAACCCTAAACCAACCTCTAAATGTCGACCAGAGAAAGAGCAATACACCGTTTACATCAGGAGTCCATATATTTATTTTAATACAGCTAATGTAAGCTGAGTGGTGTGATTAAGCACACAAACACAGTCAGTTCTGTACAACATTATGTGAAGCTGTGCTGGTTTAATTTCATAGATTTTAAATAAAAGATGGACGTCGGGTTGTGGAACTGGATAAATATATCAGCTACTTGTAACAAACAAAGAGAGGGACACACAGGTCTAAAGACCGATTGGCAACCTCCTGGCAACTTCCAGCAACCAGTGGTTATGAGGTGATCGCCAGCCTGCCTTGACAATTACAAGTTCATTAATTATTTATTATTGACAGAAGTTGGTGGAGACATACAGAACTAAAAGATAGCTAATATTTAGATTACTATGACTATGGTTCTGTGGCAACACTGGAAAAAAACAACACACTATGACAAAGGAATAAGTGGAAGGATATCACCAAAGCAACATTAATCTGCGACATGTTTTTACTGCCCCCGTGTGGCCAGCACGGGGGCAGGTCTATGATCTAGACCAGCGGTTCCCAACCTTTTTTGCGCCACGGACCGGTTTATGTCCTACAATATTTTCACGCACCGGCCTTTAAGGTATTGCGGATAAATACAACAAAATAAAACCAGTACCAGTACAAAAAAAAGATTTATTCATAACACAGGAAAAGATCCAGGGAAACCGAGTTAACGATAAAAACGATTTAAAAAAATAACGATAAAAACGCTGAAAACCATAAATTTCACACCCGAGCTTCAACTCTCGCGGCCCGGTACCAAACGACTCACGGACCGGTCCGTGGCCCGGGGGTTGGAGACCGCTGATCTAGACTTCACAAAGGCAACCTATCCATAGGAAAACACTGGGATGGAAGCACTTTTGTAGCTAGCTAGCAGAGACAAATTTAAAAAATAATATTGAGTTGGCTGCCCAGTACAAATTCATGTGGTCTCGGACAGACGAAAAAATGAAAACAAATTGCAAAATATACTTGGGTGGCCTTCAGGATACCTGGGTGGGCCCTAAGTAAAGTCTATGTGTGGGAAACACTGTAAAGTGATGTGAAGAATTCTCAGGTAAGAGACTGAGATAATGCTACGACACAAAACACGTATTACGTTTCTTTGTGTGTGTTTTGTGCATTTGTAGGCTATATGCCACAGTGTTACTAGAGATGGCCTACAGTGAAACCTAACCTAAAAATGGCACAGTATGTACAATGGCAATTTCCAGAACAAAGTCCGTGTCTTAAAGTGGCTCGAACACACCGCTCTAACTGGAGTTTAAACATTAGCTCACCGCCTTTCCGCCAACTTCTCTCTCCCGGTCCCTCTCCCGCCCCGCACTGCCGTGGCTCCTCAGGAGCTGCTGGGCATCGTGGATAGCCTGGGTGACCACGTCGCCGTCTCCCAGGAAACCTGCAGACAAAAACAAAGCACGAAGAGGAGAGCACAAAATGAGGACCAAGATAATTATGATGATGAAGGAAAAGAAAATGAGACAGAGGAAGGTAAAGTGTCAGTTCTCATCAGAAGACCTCCTCTAGAAACACATCACGGATCTTATGAACAGTCACCTACAGATGATGATTAGTTTCATATCCTGCTGCTGGAAATGACAGTTGAAGAATGCAATCATCCTCTTGTGGAAAAAGACGACTGCACAAAGTTTTAATTCATTTCAGCCACTTGCTCAGTATTTACTGTATTTTATACAAAATAGAGAATAACTGTTTATGAGTATCTGAGCGTCCTTTATTAATGCTTAGTTTGTCGCACGCAAGTCAAAAAAGTTATGTTCGTTGTGTTCAGTCTCCTTAAATCAACAGTGAATAGATCTACAGGAAATATGATGTGCTGCAGGTTAATGTCAAATGCTTTAATGCTTTACCATGCAAAGCAGTGTGACTGTGTGCAACTCACTGAGCGCAGATCGTGGTGGACTGTGGGAGATCTCTCTCTGGAGATCTCTGGGTCTGTATGCCCCCTGCAGCGCCAGTGATCCCAGCTCCAGGCTCTGTGGACTGGGTGTCTTCCCCAGCTCCAGACCCTTGGGCTTGGAGGTCAGGTTCAAGGGCTGACTTGCTTCCTAAACACACAGCAAGAGCAGATGAGCAGGGGTGGGGCTACTTCGACATATTCAGGTGAAACCGCAAAGGCCAAGGGTGTGCGTGTATTCCAGCTATGCACGGCACATTTGGCATGTCGGAGCAGATCTGTCACACCTTTGTAGTATTTTTTTTAGTCTTTTGTCTTCAAGTTATCCTCCTCCTCTCTTCCCTTTTGTTTATTTAAGCTATGTTGATCTATCCCTGCTTGAGAACCTGCCGTGCAAACACGAGTCGCACTACATTTACACACACACACAAGCACACACGCACGTCGAGAAAACACACACCTATGGCCACACACATTAAACCTTCAACAGAGGGTGTGGTGTATTCCTAAAGCTTTTCAGCCTCCCAAATACCAGAAAAGGATATTATTTGTTCGCTCCAGAAGACTTCACTTTCTTTAAGCTTCCTAAAACCACACACATGCAGAAGGTACGCACACCATACAGCAAGCAAACACAGCCATAATTCCCTGACTTCTCAGTAATGTGCTCATATAAAGAAGTGAGTTGGACAAGGTATGCACAATAAAGTGATACTGTACCTGTCGGAGGGAACCACTGCTTCTCTTCACGGGGGTGGGGTGAGTGTTTGACAGCAGCTGCATGGAGTAGTCCATAGCTGTGAAAGGTTAAAATTAAAAATAAATAAATGACCATTCTTAATGCATCGATTTAAGGGTTAAGAACGAACAGCAGTTTTAGACAGAACCAAGTTTAAAAGTAAAACTATTAGCATTACTATTATCATTAGCCTGTTAAAAAATTGTTTAGTTACCATCCTAACGGACCAAGCAACATGCTAGCATTTTATGGGTAAAATTAGCTTCACTGTAAAGCCTGTTGCAGACACTGACAGCTGGAGCCACAACAGCCAAGCAGCCTTCCATGGCTGGGACTCATGCTCAGCTGGTGTAGTGCACTGTAAAGGCTTAGTGGTAAAATCTACGCAGTCATCAAAACATATGCACGGACCCTTGCCCTTGATGACCAAATTTATGTCACGTGGACGCATCAGACCCAAGTGGACCACAGCAGACGTGGAGAGTATACTCAGAGCTTAAGAAAAAAGGACATTAGCCTAATTTTGTTAAGCTCAGACACATGACCGATAGCGTACTTGTAAAAACTAAAATGTTATGTGGCCTTTTTATGTAGCGCAGGTGTTTATTTCAGCTCTTCACCTCCATTAACTTGCACTCACTGAGGACTATCTAGGATGAAATGCAAAGACTCTAATCTGGCCCAGTGGACGGCTTTTGAAAGTGTGAAGGAAGACATAGACTCTGGGCTTTTAACGGTATTTTCACAAGTTTTACAGCTTTTCCTATTGAAAAAACCCACCCCATCCCAACACTGCCATACACGCCACACCAAAGTAATTAAAGTGGTTTCTTTGTCTTTGTTGGACATCCCTGTCCTACACCCTTACATTCATTTTAGCATTTAAATGTTCACTTCCAGCATCAGTAGCCATGAATCCACCATAATACGAAGGCAGTTTGTTTATACAGAAAATCGAGTGCAGAGGATAAGGCAATATCACCTCTCCAATGGCAAATCTCAAACTATTGCCAAGATAAATTTGTGATATAGCATTTATTCAGCTAAGGTTGAATAATAACGTGAGTAAGTGATACAGTCATTCTGAGACAGTAGATGTTTTGTTACAGTTTGAGAATTAACATAATTTGCGCATGGCCAAGTGGGAGTTGCAGGGAATGTCCCCAAAATACAATGTCCAGTTGATACGTGAGGTTATATGCAAATGTCCAAACAAATAAAAGATCTGAGCAAAATGAAAGCAAAGGGCTCAAAGTTTCACTCCATGCATATTGTTTTTAAAGACGCTCTGGTTACTGCTGACCTCTTCTACACAGCCCAGCACTCCGACACATTTTACATTCATGTGTCAAAACATTCAGAGCCGCTCACGCACATGTGCGCTTCTTGATATAATGGCTATCCTTAAATTCCACCTACACTGTTTTAAAGACTGGCCTTGTGTCTTTAAGTTTGAAAAGATCCACAAGCACAGCTTTTAAGGCTGGTGAAAGCAAGCTTCTACAAAGCTGTGGCGTTCGAAGCCGTGGCCTCAATAGCCTGCTAACTGTACAAGCATACGTGTTTGAAAGGTACATTCAAGCACTGTTGCACTGGAGTCTCACGGATGCCTTTCTAGTTCCTATAAAATAGCCCCTGAGTTGAAGTACATAAACATACTTAAGCTTTTCTTTAAAACACTCAGGGATGGCAACTTATGGAGCTGTACTGATGGAGATATCTTTTCAGCACAAAGTTTCTGGCCTTCAAAGCTTGCAGTCATTGGTAAGTAGAGTGTTCATTCTTCCCACACAACAGGGTGCATAAGAAAAGGCTTTGAATGAATTGACAAAACACAGTGTTCACTAAATCAAGGGAATCCTTGGAGGATTATTAGCAGGTCACAGCAGTATTTGAAGAAGAATGTAGTATACAGCATGACCTTATTGAGCCCTCCAGAAATACTTTGATTTGCTGGGAGTTTCTCTGACTAAAATGGACCATTAGTGTCAGTGTTGTGTTTATTACTCAGTAAAAGTAACGTATTACACATGATTCATTACTTTTTTTAACCCAAGGAATAAAGTAATGCATTACTCTGTGGAGGCAGAATGCCCTTCACACAGGTCAGCCCAGAGGTTGTTAAAGGACACTTCTCTGAAAGTTACTTTATATGGTTGCAAACATGTTTAAATATGAGTGATGGATTAAAGATTACATAATGTTAGAAAGAATATTACCTTGTTGTTGCCGTCATAACTTTCCAGTGTTTCAAAAGCCTGCCTGCCATTGCTAGAAATGTCTGCAGCGTTTGCCTGATATTCCTTAAAATTACGGATACATTAATCAGAGCGGTGTTCCTAGATCCCACAGCCTGAGTCAACAACCCTGCCCCAACAAAGCAGCTCCGAGCTTTCTTTTAATGCTGCACTGCTGTCAGCCTGCATATGAAAAAATAAATAAAACTGAAACCTTTCCACTTGATTACTCACTCGGCTTGCAGGGGATCGGTTGCAGTGGCAAGGTCATCTGGGGGTCAGAGTTGACCTGGAGGGGTTGGGTGGTGGGGTGGAAAGCTGGAATCATCACGTAGGGCATGTTCACCTGCTGGGACAGAGCAGGACACGTGCACGTTACAGACAAGCCCCATCCGTCTCACACATTCATTTATTAATCTCCCACTCTGCTCCTTGAAGTGATTCAGGAAGATGTGCGAAAGGTCGTGAGAGGAGCTGACCTGGATCTGCTGCTGAAGCAGGTTGATCTTGTGCTGCTGCTGGATGAGCTGCTGCTGCTGCTTGGCGATCTGAGACACAGAAAAACGAGACACACAACAAGTGAGCGCTAGCCTGTATAAATTCTAACGATCAGCCATGACGCACGCATGCGGCGGTTCATTTATTCCCAGAAAAAAGCTGGCGAGTGCGTGCGGTGCTCTCCTTCTGTGGACTTGTGTGAAAAAAGGCGCATTAGACAAAGATCTTTTTTTCAATTTCGGCCATCTAATTTGCCTAGTGTTTGTATGGAGCAAGAACACAAGCACCAGTGCACACAGGGGCTTTTCGTCTGTTTGGTCAGAAAGGCCCTTTATATTCTTTATCAAGATAATACACAGCAGAGAGACAGAAATTTGTTTTGAGATGTCCACATGTTTGCATGTTCTGTTGAACTGGGTGACTGATGCAAAGATCTGGTAGAGATACCTGTTCTTGCTGTTGCCGAGCCAGCTCCATCTGCTGCTGCTGTTTCTCCAGCAACAGGGCGGCCATGTTTCTCTGCTCAGAGTGGGCTCCCAGGAGCTGCTCCCTCAGACCACTCAGCTGGTTGATCATCATCAACAGCTGGAGCTCCTTCTCTGCCAGAGATTCGGGGGTACCTGGTGGGAGGAGTGGGAGGCTTTGTGTTTTTATGCAGGATAAGGCCGTGTGTTTTTTTTTATTCCTTTTTATTCCGTTTTTTGCTTTAGTAATGTCTCCAACTATCACCATTATTATACCGGAGGGATAAAAAAATACTATTCTCTTCTTGTTCTTACAGTTTTGTTATATAACCTCTCATGTTTTCCCATTTTTCCCACAAAATTTCTCAAAACATGAAGCTTTTCTTCTCTTTATAAAAGAAAAATCATATTTTTATGGTGAATAATATTTTTCAGTTTTACAAAAAGATATTTTTGCTCTTGTTTGTAGATGAAACTTTTATTAAATTAAATTTCACAAAATACAAAACTTTTGTCATTTTTATGAGACTGAGAACAATTTCTTGTAATTACCTAAAAAAGTTATTTTTTCCTCCACAAAACAATATTTTCAGCAAAGTTTTTAATGTTAAACTTTCCCTCTTTTAAAAACATCTTGTTATAATAACAAACTTCTCAATCTCACAAAAACCTTTCTAACTTTCACAGGATCATTTTCAAGTGTAATATCTTGTCTTTTATCTCCTCACACCCTCTGTGGGTCAAGTTTCACACATTCAGAAAAACCAACATCTCAAAGAAAAAAATCTGAAGCTTCTTCGTAACATGTTGCTTTATGTTTCCTATATTTCAAAATCAATTGCTATCTTGTAATCTCATAACTGCTAGAAAAGGATGTTGAAAGGGTTGAAACTGATAAGCATCTTTTTTCCCCATTTTGCAGAAACAAGCTGTTATACCAAACTGCTTAGATCAGAAACTGTAGATAATGTTTGCAGGACAGACGCGTCCTCACTATGAAAATGAATCTTTCATCGCTGCAAAAACTACAAAGCCAATTCCAAAAATGTGTCAAATGTAAATCTCATAAACTTGTCTTTTATTCACTGTAGAGACACATTAAATGTCTGAACTGAGAAACTGTAAAACTTCAAAATATCTCACATCTCAAAAAAAAGTTGGGATGGGAGCACCAAAGCTGGGGAAGCACTTTCCAGTTAGGTTAACTGGCAGGAGGTCAGTAACATGACTGGTTATACAAAGAGCATCTCAGAGATTCCAAGAAGTACATCAGAGGATAACAAATCTGTAAAAAAACTGCAGCTACAGATTTCAGAATAATGTTTCTGAATGCAAAGTCAGAAAGATTATAAATATACATAATATCATTAAACGATTCAGCGATTCTGGAGGATTCTCTGTGTACAAGAGACAAGGCAGGAGGCCACCTCTGAATGCTCTATCTTCGGGCCTTCTGAAGCTGGACTGAAGCAAAGCGCAAAACTGTTGTCAGATCAGACAAATCGAAATTCTGAAAATCACAAATGCCACTTCCTCTGGTTTAAAAATGAGAAGGACCATCCAGCTTGTTATGAGCAAGCAGTTGAAAAGTTTGCATCCCTGATGGCACAGAGGTGAATTTATCAGTTTGCACATCTGGAGAGGCACAACTAATGCCTCAAGGTGAAACAAAAAACGCTGAAAAGAAGACCCAGGACTGCCGAGCAGCTAGAGTCTGCTATCTCTCTGCTCAGTTCTACCAAGTGGTAAACATGGTGTGGCAAATGTGGGTTTATGATAATCATTACATTCATGTGCAAACAAATACTAAAAAAAAGGGATCAAATAATTCAGTGAAATGATTGAGATAACAGCAGCACACATGTGCTGTGAGTGTGGTTATATCAGTGAGACGGGCGCAGTGACAGCCAGCACTGGATTTCACTGGTGTGTGTGTGTTATCACTGTACATATGATAAATATTACATTGTTAACCCCAGAACACACACACGAGTTTTGTAACGCCATCACTACACTTTGTCCTTAATGTAAATATGTAAGAAAAATTTCCCCTTGTGGGACAATTAAAGGATTATTCTATTGTATTCTATTCTATTCACTTTCGCATGGGTGAAAATTTAGGGTTAATTAAGCCTTCACACACACACTGGTTATGTTTTACCTCTAAAAAGAAGTAGAAGAAGAAATATCTACATATCTTCCATCTAAATGTCAAACCAATGGTGTGCCACATGCTGCTGTATGCACCAAGCTGTTATATATGATGCTTTTAAATTGATAAAACAAATGAGAAATAGAATAGAAAAGCTGTAATTCATACGGTCTAATTGTATATGTACAACATGATGGTGTTTGTAGCGTTTGAAACTAACCTTTCAGCTGTCCTGACCCCACTGTGCTTTTATCCAGGAGTTTGTCCTTCCAGTCAGCATTCAGCAGCTTCTCAATGGTAGGCATCACTGTTAAGAGAACACAAATGGTACTCAGCGGGACCGCAGTGGGCAGCAGTAGATGGCGTGAAAAATATATTCTGTCAAATAAAATACATCTAACACTAAACTACTTTCTGAGCCTCTCTTCTGCTTTTCTAATGGCATTGATTGAAGAAGACGTTTGAGGTGTCGAAGGGCAGGGGTTGTTTGTGCATCAGGGAGAAGTTCTGAGTGTTTGAGTGGATCAATATTTGGACAGAGAACAATTCAAGGTCAGTGACTGGAGCAAATTTGAGAAAGATTTAAGGCAAGGAGTGCAGGCTGGTTAAAGACTAGAGGGCAACGAGAGTCTTGCACGCGGCTCAGAGAGAAGCCCTTCACTCCCTACCAAAGAAATTGAACACAATCACACATACAAAAAAAAAATGCCCCTGAACTCGTTCAGGAATCCAAACAACACCCCCGCTTTGTGAGACAAACCATCACTTCCACACATCGATTTTAAGCAGACTGCATTGTTTAATGCTGAATAGCAGCAGAATGTAGCGCTCTCAAACACGTAAGATATGGAGTCATCAAAGTCTGAGATGGGAAAATTATATGGACGTGTGTGCGAGTAAGAGAGAAAGACTCCCACAGAAGGTAATAACACTGAGGTGCAGAAAAGAGAAAGGCTGAGGGCTGAATTGATACTGTCTGAAATCCAGTAAATACTGAGGCAAAACTGTTAAGTGCCAATCCGACTACATGCTAACATCCAAACAGCTTGGATCTAAAACGTTACTCTCAAGATACACAACTGACAATTTTAATGAACTTAAGTATTTATGCCTTCCTGAGCCTGGTTTTATATTAATAATAATAATTAATAATAATATATTATAAATTTCTTCCTGTTAAAATTGAGTTCTTCCTTCCCACAGTTGTCTAATCCTGGTTTGGCTACTAACCGTACGACCGTTGCTGTAAACTGGCATTATACAAGCAAAACACACATTCAATATTTGCATAAAACACGAGTCAAAAATGACATACTTTACATGTCAGTGACTAAAGCTTATTTTGCTAAGCTTATACCTTCAGGCCTCATGCTTGCAGGCAGGCGTGACAATGATATCATCTAATTGTCGGTATCTGGCTGTCTGCGAGTATTTGTGCTGTCTCTTATAAAACTGGGAAAATATTCTTTGCAGAACCTTTGTAAGTAAAATTAATGTATGTATAAAGTATTTTGCTAAATTAACTTAGCAAGTTTCAATGACTAACATTAGGGCCACCCTGTTAAATGAAATGCTCCTGGTAAATACTCGACATTCAACCCCAAATTGCTCCTAATAGCAGGACAGTTTCTTTCCTTCTTGGGAGGTTGACTTTGTTCTTTATTCCGATCCCTGTGAGCTGTTGCTACAGCAACAACAACTCTCCCTGGGGTCCACAGATAAAACCAGCACAAGACATCAACCCATAATGGTACAGTCAGTCACCAAGTAAATTATAAATAAGAGTATGATACAAATAAAACTTTCTCTTGAGTTAAAAACAGCACGCAATCAAACAATCAAGAAATAATAAAACTAGCAATGAATCCTATAATTACATATTATTAATATGTATTAATTCAATAGGCTAATGAACATCAACACCATGGCAGACAGAACTGACTCTCGGTTTGCACCTCTGTGGTTGTAAATAAAGTTTTGAAATGGCGGTTGCTTTTGACAGACCTTCTTTCAAGTTGGATTGTCCCTCTGATCGATCATGCATCCTAGGTTCCTTCAGTCCCATGGGGCTCTGTCTGTGAGGCAGGTCTTTCCCTGGAGATCCCTCCTGTCAGGACAGAAAAGAGAACCTCAATTAAAATCTCACCAAGAACATGCAAATATACTTTATATTTTGATATACCAATCTATGACACATTGTTGACTTCCTAAAATTCCCTGTCATGCCTTTCGTAATCCTTACTGAAGGGGAGCGAGACAGTGGTGGGGTCAACTGGCGAGCCTCAAGGGGCTGAGTTCCTGACCAATCACGCGAAGGAGACGTTTTACGAAGTTCGCCACTGGTATCCACTGCAGCCCCTCCCCCAGAGTCTTCACGTTCTACTTTGACACCAACGCCTGCCATGTTGACATCCCCACTGGAGTGAATGTGAAGTGCTGGAGGGCTGGGCTCAACCATTCTGTTGAAAGACAAAAAAAAATACACAATACTAGCTGTCATTTGGGTGTGGTGAGGTTTGGGCACTGGGTAATCATCTCCCAGTTCTAGATTTGGGAGTAAACATATTGACAGCAAAGAAGAAAAAATAATAGAAAATTTGTTGGTGGAAAATTTCATCCAATTGCTGTTCAGATATTTTATTTGGACTAAAGCTAAGGACGAAAAAGGAATCCTTAGAGGTGTGTCGGCAACTGGGCTAGAGACTCTTACAACTATGAAGCTTTATGAACGGTCATAGGGAAAATAAACAATATGGTCTTAAACAGAAGTTTGTAATCAAATACTGCTATAGAGCATGATTAAAGCAAAGAGGTGTAAGCTGTGAATAATAAATAATGAGTACTATGAGCATTTATACTGGACACTAACACTTATGCGATCTTTTACTCCAAAAATAATTCGGTTTAGCTGTTTCCCCATTATTTTGATTGCTGTTACTTTTACAGGCATGCACACAAATATTCTACCTCTCAGATAGCCAAACCATTTGGTTTCCATTTAGGGTTTTGGATATTCTTTTTTGTTCGTTTGTTTGTTTTGTGACATTTACAATGTCAGCTATTTTGCCAGACCTCCGTCAGCACCCAGTCTCTCCCAATGCTCATCAGGCACATCTTCCAAGCCCCAAAAACAGTATCAGGACAGTCTTACACATCAGTAGTACCTCACATTATCCCTCCAAGGTTTAAGTCATCATTAGTGATATCCCTAACCCCAAACCCTGACTCTAAGCAATCGAAATATGTACTTTTTTATTACTCTTGCAAGTTTTAGCATATCTAAAATTTTAAAAAGGACTTTTGTAAAAAAAAAAAAAAAAAAAAGATTCTTATTGGTTTTCCATAATTAGATACAATTTGCTTATATCCTGCTTATAAGTTAATAATTGCTACAAATAGCTAAATCAATTTGTGACATTTCTGCCTCTTAAAGGAAACCCTAATTTTGAGGTGGTAAATTTAAGAAAAAAAGGTGACTCCTGAATTCAGTTTTGAGAGTTAGGTGGTGGTTGTGTTAAAGTGTGTGTGTGTGTGTGTGTGTGTGTCTCCCTCAGTTTGTGACAGTGAATAATGAGAGGTTATAGGGGAGGGAGACAGACAACGCCTCAGTGAGGAAGAAAAGCAGAAAACTGAAGAGGGGACAGGTTGAGTGAGAAAGGTTTGAACCAGAGTGAACTTGAACAAATCAACTCAGGGTTGTGTGCATACGTGTGTTATTTCCCAGCTCTACAGCAGGAGGAAAGAAAAACACAGCAGACAGCAGAACAAAACAAACAGAACACACAAGGGCAAAAAGTGCACATATATATAAAGAGGCAGAAAAAAAGCCATTGTTGGAGCCGGGGAACAAAGGAAGCCGAGACAATGGGGGAGAGGCTGACAAAAGCCGCCGGCCGCAGGAAACAGGCCGGATAACAATGCCAGCGGAATGTGCCGACCAACTCAGGAACATGGCAAAAAAAAAAAAAAAAAAAAGCGCCACCGTTCTGCGGAAAGCATAATAATGATTAGTGCCCCCCCCTTTAGCTTGCACACTGTGTTTCCAAACAAAGCCACCTGTCTGCCAGGGTCCAAGACTCCAAACCTCAGTGATGTATATGCATGCGTTTGTGTGTCTGTGTGTGTGTTAAAAGCTGCAAAACACAGGTAGAAACGTTGTGCACCGAACTCAGCTGCCATGTGGTCACGGAAGAGTTGTTTACAGTCTGATTTTAGCTCCAAGTAATGGATAGAGAGTGCAAGCATTTGCAGGAACGTCCGTGAAGTCTGTTTGTTTCCTGAGACCACAAGGACTTGTCTGCAGATAATTTACATCGCAATGCACCAACTACGCTACGCTCCAGGTGGCAGACTTCAAAGAACTATAACAGGAATGAATAATTGGCCGTCAGCTGTACATGTCTGCAGCGGAGCATAATTCAGGTGAAAAACTCAATGGGTGCAGTTGCTCTGCAGTTGGTACAAGTCCAGCAAGCAACATCAAGCAAATATAAGGTCATTATGTGGTGCAAGCATAACCACAGAAAACTACTGAGATACTTTGTCTACTGGAATAATGTTTAATTTAATCTTCAAGGAAATTGGCAGAATAAACAACTAAACACTTGAATTTCACTCACTACTATGACAACAGCTTGTTTTTTAGGAAATCCTGACAACTAGATTAAAAAAATCTTTAAATATTTATATTTGTCTTGATCTTTAAATTCAGTTCGTCGATAATAAATGCCACACTTGTAATTATCTCAGCAGATGACGTGGATTCCTATGACCTCTTGAGAAAGGATAATGACAACTTGACTAAAGCCAAGCAACTTGGACCAACTTGAAGAGGGCGATTTCCCTTTGCAATTTTACAAAGGCTGCAGTGTCAACCCTGTAAAGTGAGACACGTCCCTTACTTACCTGATGAGTTTAATGAACATATTTTGTTTATGAGAACACCAGCTCAACAGTTACGCGGCCCTCTGGGAACACTCCCGAAGCTCCTGACCGGCCCCTCTGCCAACGCCAAGCAACATGAAAAACACATTTCTAGCACTCTAGGAAACACACAGTAATGTTGTTGGTGCATTTTAACACAAACCCACCTGCCTGGCTAGGCTCTAAACCTGTGTGAGTGTGTGTGCATTTATGACTCGTTGTGTTTTCAAATCACAAAGCGATAAAAGAAAATCTAATTTACACAGCTGACGGTAACTAAAAAGCACAATAAACACACCTGCAAGCAGGGGGATCACCGGCAATTGAACTCATTTGATGCCACCTGTTTGATTACTCTTGGTTTAAAGATGATATCACACTCGTTTGTATATCTTTCATATTAAAAAAACAACAACTGTGATTTTGCTTCAAATTTTACTGCCTGATTGCATTTGTTATCTGTCATATTTGGGAAAAGTTACCATCAGCTTCAAACCCACAACACTGTTCATCAGCCTAATCCTGTTTGACGTCTGCTTTCAGCTGTGGTGTAGTTTTGTAGGGTGTTGGGAAGGAACGATTGTGGAGGGATGGAGGTGGGAAACTGTTATAAGCGAACACCGCAGCAGTCACCGTCCATGTGGCGGCGAGGGACTGATTGCCGGAAGAGAGGGGGTTGGAGGGTTGTGCGCAGGCGGCAGTGGCAACATACCGAGCTGAGTCCCACACAGCAAGTTATTCCTGGGTCTTCCCTTCACGTTCCACAGGGGCTGGACCGCAGAGCTGCCACAGGTGGCTTTCACACGCCTCTGCACATACTCTGTGTGTGTGTGTCACCAAGTGCAGAGGTATGCACAGAATCTCAGAAGCCCGCACTGTTGTTGTCAGCGAGGAATGTGCGTCCAGGTGCAAGCATTTTTACAAGCACAAAGGTACTTCAAAAACAATACAATTTGTGCCTGAGGGTGAACAATGCAAACCAGTCAAAGTTATCAGGTTATCGCTTGCCTTCACATCTCTCTCTAGTTAAACACACACTTAGCCTATCTGCACTGACTGCACCTACGTGGAACCTGACCTTGTGCATACATGTATATATGCGGTGTGTTGCATGACTTAAATAGCACTGGCTTCTTCTAAGGTTATCTGATTGAGGCCTGTTTTTCAACCACCTACGGTGTTATTCAGCTTTTATAGGCGCTCACCACATGCTGCTAAGAAATCACAATGAAACAGACCTCAGAGCAGCCAAGAGTTGTTTTTTTCACATGTTTACTGAAAAATATTCCAATTATAGTTATATAATAGACATGGACATGATGATGTGTAGACTTTCAGCTTTCATTTGAGGGTACCCACATTCAAATGGGAAGAAGGTTTTAGGAGTTTCAGCTCCTTAACATGCGCCACCCTTTTTTTTAAAGGGACCAAAAGTAATTGCACTATTAGCGCCATTTCATAGGCAGGTATGGGCAATTCCTTTGTTATGTCATTATCAATTAAGCAGTAAAAGGCCTGGAGTTGATTTGAGGTGTGGTGCTTGAGTTAGAAGATTTTGCTGTGAACAGACAACATGCAGTCAAAGGACCTCTGCATGCAGGTGAAACAAGCCATCCTTAAGCTGAGAAAACAGAAAAAAAACCTTCTGAGAAATTGATACAGCATTGATACAGCGTTTGTTACATTCTGAGAAAGACAGAAAGCACCGATGAAGTCAGCACCACAAAAACACAATTCTGGAAAAACATCCTTTGGATAGATGGAACCAAGGTTAACCTCTACCAGAATGATGCCAAGAAAAAAGTATGGAGAAGGTGTGGAACAGCTCATGGTCCAAAGCCCAATGGCTTGGGTGTGCATGGCTGCCAGTAGCACCGGGACACTAGTGTTTTTTGATGATGTAGCACAGGACAGAAGCAGCTGAACAAATTCTGAGGAGTTCAGAGACATACTGTGTCTGACTGATTGGGCAGTGTTTCATAATACAAATGGACAACGACCCAGAACATACAGCAAAAGAAACCCAGGAGTTTATTAAACCAAAGAAGTCAAATATTCTTGAATGGCCAAGTCAGTCACCTGATCTTAACCCAAATGAGCATGCACTTGTTGATGACTAAACTTTAGGGTTAGGCCCACAAACAAACAGCAACTGAAAGCTGCTGCAGTAAAGGCCTGGCAGATCATTAAAAAAGAGGAACACTGCACAATGCCACTGCTGTACTTCTAGAGTTCTAGGGTTCTTGGCCTCCCCCCATGCAGTGCTCCGAACGTGATTTAAGCGCCTGCCAAATGCTGATTGGTTGACAAGGAAGAAGCGTGAAAAAACGTTAAAGATCAAAAGTACAGCATGAAAAGCACAGACAGTGGCTGCAGTGGACACTTTGCACAGTTTAATTCTTTGTTCCACTTCAGCTCTTTGTATGTTAGAACGTCACTTTTCGCTTCAGCAGTTTGACAGACCAACAGTGACACAAGCAAGAATAGCCCACGGACTGGCTGAACGACATACTTTGTTCACTGACGGCCAAACCGACCATCCCTAACTACCTACACACTATGAGCAAGCTCCTCTTGCTGAACCATAAATTGACTGGAGACCCGAGAAGTTGCATACTTTGCCTTGTGGCAAGTTGCATCTCTTGGTAACATGCTAGCTAAGCAATTTTACATGTTGATAGCTCTTCTTTGTGGACAAAAATATTAAATAATTATATTAAAGAAAGTATTCTATTTCTATATCTGCAAGTTATTAACTTAACCTAACTGCTTAGAAAACAAGCAACTGCAGTTTTTGCTAGCCAAAATTAAAGAGACGTATGATTCCACCTAGCTAAACAAACTGGAATAAAGCTAGCCAGACCTAGCGTTAGCTGATAACTACCACTAGCTCTGGCTAGCTTTGTTATTAACTAATAATTCCTAGCTCTAGCGTCATTAAAATACGATCACATTCGACAAAACACGTAATTAGTCTCTGACAGGAAGGACTCCGGGAGTTGATCCTCTGAAAGCAGACCACAGTGGCCTCGCTATCCAACCACAGTCATGGCTGCGCTGTTCCAGGACTACCCGCTGCGAGCTGAGCGCTCCCGCCACAACAGACAGGGAGGGGCTGGAGAATGACAGGGAGAGAGCATACCTCTGTCCTCTGACAAAAATGGCCTCCTTTCCTTTGAGCACTCAAAACACTGAAACGTTATACTTCCCATGACACAAGAATCACTTCACACAAAACCTTCAGTTACCCAACAAGTTGTAACATGTAAAACCCAACATTTCCCCCCAGGAGGCTTGGCAATGCAAATCCCTTCTGTTGTTCTCCCTTTCTTTTCTTTTCTTCCTTTGTTTCTTTATTCTTTTCTCACCGCTTGTTTTTCTTTTCACCTTACCCCTCCCAACAAGAGCAGGCTGCTGGGTTTATATCGTCCTTGTCGCTTTCTAACTGCTGCCTGAGGCAGAATAGCACAGAATGCACAATAGACGTAAGAGAGAGTGCCAGGAGCCATTCTCAGCAGTAGCGAGCAGCAGGATAAAATGTTAGACATCTAAAGCAGCCTACTTGGTGATAAACAAATAAAGACATTCTCTTTGTCGGTAGTGAGACTGACAGCTGTAATGGCAGAAGGTTCCTTCTGCCAAATGCAAAAAACAAAAACACAAAATCACTTACTTATACTTGGCTCAGGCACAAGAATCTATCAGGTCAAAAACAAACAAAAAAAAATGCAACAAACAAAGAAAAAGGTAAAATAACTCAGACCCTGATCTGCACGAGTTTCCATAGCCAGTTTCATCTCTGAAAAACAATCGCATTTAGGAAATTTTCTCACTTGTTGTTCAATTGTCAGCGGTGTCCCATGACCGAACTCACACTATAAGTTTCCAACCTGCTGTGCAGTCATGTTAAGACAAGTGCGAACCAATGTATAAACAAGTGTTTGTGGATATGTTTTGCAGCTAGCACTATTTGATTAGGGATGATAAAACAATTTAGTGTTCCGCACCAGCTATAGAGCCAGTGTGCCCACAGGGCCTGGCTCGGCCTTATCACGGCAAGAGCGTCAAGCAAAACATTACTCAAGCAAACCACATCACCAGTTCAGTTAGTGGTTGTGCTTCATTAGTAACACGGAGCATTAAAAACACACATATTCATTTTTTTTAAAGAAACATGCATCTCCTACTTTGATCAGTGTCTATTTAAAGGAAAAGCAAGACTGAATTAAAAGATGTTCACAAACACTTACACAAGCACACCTTGGACTCTCACCTATCCATCTACCCTCTGTAGCTGTCTGTACTGACCTGGTAGTGCAGAGTGGAAGCGAGGAGATCCAACAGCGCTCCCTGACTGGAAGAACTGGAAGAGATCTGCTGACACAGGTCATAGTGAGTGTTTCTCCCTCACCGGTAACGCCTGTCTTTTCTACTCTTCTGTTACCTCTGACCAGCCCCCCCCCCCAAGAGGGGAAGTACAAAGAGCCTGTTCAAATCCCATCGTATAGCTGCTGCGTTTGCATAATTAGCATGCTGTTTGCAGGTAACCTTTGCTGCTTACAGACGTGCATGACACTGATCGGAACTCAACCAGCCAACAGGTTTGATTGCGGTGTGATAAGCACATTCACGGGCTTTAGACACTTTCGAACACAGTCGGCTTTATTCTAGGCTTTTTATGATTTCCAGGATGTGTGGCGGGGTGGGGGGACAGAAAAATGCTGGGTGGGTGGTTGTAAAGGTAAGGGAATAAGGCAACCGGTCACAACGAATCAAAGAGACAAGCAAACAATTTTAAAACGAAGCAAAAAAAAAAAAATCTTTAAAAAAATCTTTACCCTACTATTTACCAAAAACTTTTTAATCAAAGCTCCGATTGCTTTATCGTGATCAGATCATTTGATAAAGCACAAATTTCAACATTTTGATGTACAATGCAGTATTATAAAGCCCCCTCCCTCACTGTTACCTCTCATTTTACATTGTTGGATGTAGTTTGGTCTCTGACTCCTGCGTGCAAGTGGGGAAAGGAGCTCCACAATTAGTTGCCGTAAGTGCACAGTGGTGTATAGTGCAGAGGTAATCTGATCGGACACACTCAAGCTGAAAATGTAGGGAATTCTGGTGTGATGCGAGATACAATATCAACCAGTTTGGCAGCGCTGCGAGAGTAGTTTTTTGAAGAAAATAAGTAAAGCTTCAGTGAGGTAACAATGTTTAGTCAACTATGTTGTAAATAGATACAAGTAAGCAAACGCACCTTTATGATGTTCCACAAAGGTTACATGGGAGACATACATGATTTTACTTGCCCTCTTTTGTTCCGAGCACTAATTATCTCCTGAAACATAACAAGAAGCCGTTCCATGTGCTCCATATAGCAACGTGATGATGTTTGTCATTGTGAAGAGAAAATGTGTCGTTAATAGGAACCTCTGCAATGCCATGTGTCTGTCAGCGTAAACAGTTAAAGGTGCTGGTGGGGATTCAACCTCAAAGGAACTGGATACTCAGTTATTTCCCAGCACAGAATAGTTCTTGTTCTACTTGTCCCGTCAGGCATGTTACTTTATTCTTTACATTAGGCGCCGACTACAGCCAAAGTGAGCCATTAAGCCATTATGCTGAGGTGCATCGTAAACACGCCATGTTTCATGACCTGTGAGTGGCCAGTACCTTTGTCCATATAGTGTATTATGACTTGATGTGAGGTAAAGAGTATCTAGAAAGTTTGCACTCATGCAGCTTATGGATGCATGGCAGTGTTTTCAGAAATTTTATCACTCAGTCTGCTCATCTAAATATAATCATCCCTGACTTGAGAAAAAGAAAATAAACATCTCAATGGCCTAAGGATGAAAAATTCACACTCTAGAAACCAGGGGATGATGTCAGGTGAGCAAGAAAAAAACTGCAGCTTATTGTGAGCATTCCTTTGCAATTTGTCTCACAATTGCAAATCACACTTTAAACTCCTGAATTTCAAACATGCACACAGTTTTACTTGACTTACACACCTTTTCAAGCTCTACTTCTCTGGATCTCCAACAGTTTAAGTCACTTTTATTCAACACTACCTGGCTGCTTTCACATTCAAAAGCTGCTTTTCAATCACATTTCAAGGCCGTCCAACACAACACTTGTACTGAACACTTGTAAGATCACGCTGAGAGATGAGGTCTCAAAGATTTGTGAGAGTATGTTTTGGTCTTGGATTTTTTTATTTATTTATTTTTTTAAATATTGGAGAGGTTTGGTAACATGTGGGTACACACACACACACACACACACACACACACACACACACACACACACACACACACACACACACACAGCAGCTTCCTTGTGTTGCTGACTGGGCCTCATTAGAGAATGAGCTCTTAGGACTGGAGACACAAAAGCCTTGCTCTCTTCCTCTTTCCTTCCCCTCTCTTCTTCTGTTCTCTTGGCCTTTTGATGTCAAGAGTACTGAACCATGGTGCATAGTCCAAAGAATAACCTCATCAAGCATACACACGCAGTTTTCCAATTTTTTCAAGTTTCTCTTTTTTCCTTTTAGTGTGCAATGAATGCGTGTGTGTGTGCGTGTGCGCACATACTATAAGGCCTGATAAGTTGCTGTTGTTCTGTGGTCGTTGGTCAGTTCATCACACACAAAGAGCAGTGTTGGGAGCTCCCGCACTGTGATAGAGTGATAGAGACATCACAAAGACTACATTTTACTCCCCTTTTCCTCTTGCAGTTCAGGGGCTGCCCCTCAGGGGTCCACCCACTGCACTGAGCACACACACACACACACACACGCCATTCCATTACATCTCTACATCACCTCGTACTTGCAAATGCAACAAATATAGATTTAGTAGAGGTTACGTAAAGAGACACAACATGAATGAAAACATTTAGCAGAGATGCATATTAATTCGTACACTGTGGAGCAACTTTATTGTATGAAGACTGAGCTCTGTTTGGGTTGGAAGTTTAAAATCCATATTTAATAAAGGGAAGAAAATAGTTACAAGAAGGGCACACATCACAATAGGGCTGTGCGATATGACCAAAATCTCATATCCCGATGTAAGAATTCTATCGTCCCGATAACGATATAAATCACAAAAATGTAAAATTTTCTGTAAATTCTGTGAATCTCGTGCAGCTCGATTTGCGTGAAGTGTTTCCAGCTGTGCTTCGTGTAGCTGGAGTCGAGTGTTTTAACCGATGCATGAAACTATACATTTTTAGACATAAGTTGTAACGGCCGCCGTTTTCTTTGTGAGTATTTATTACACGGCGTGCTGCGGGGAAAAGCCTGTTCTAACGTTTGAGTCTAAGGTTTATTTTTTAGCACCTGGCGGCTCTTTTTTGCTTCTCATCCGTGAATAATCTGCTCTTTCACGTGATTCAGTGTATTTTGAAAAGTCTCAACAGGATTTGGGCTTTATTGTGAAAGGTTTATGTGGAACATAAACAAGCGGACATGCGATGGTTTTACCGTCGTTGTTGCTAACGACAATGCATAAAAACAGGCGCTTGTCCAACTGTAGTGTTATATAAAATATAAGAGAAAGAGAGAACTTTAAGAAATTAATATAGCCACTACAGTGACCATCAAAACGATGAAAAAATATTGGCGTAAAGAGTTTATTTTGCGACACCACGAAACAAACGATAGCGTAAAATGAAATGATAGACGTTTTTATATCGTTATCCGATATATATCGTTATATCGAACATCCCTACATCACAATACATTTGAGAATCAGCAGCGGCACGAACGAGCGAAGAAAAAATGTTTTGCATGTCAGATAAGAAAGCAAGAGGAATGAAAATCTCATACACACACCATGAGCGTGGCAAGAAAAACAAAATAATTCTGCTTGCTGGCCCGTGAATAGACTTCCTGACAATCTGAGGTACTTGAATCATTCTATGCACTGCTCATGGTGTTTGTGGCATACATGAAGTAACCTGCAGTAGAAGAAACTCATGGGGAAATATATTCTGGCTGTGAGCTAATCAAACGAAAAGACACACAATTATACATATATTTATTCGTACAAAGTAGACATCAAACATTTTCCTAATTTACCATTAAATGAAAAATTCTGCTATCAGAAATTTAAGATAGCATATCTAAAGAGTTTCACTTACAAGTGTGCCAAATAGTTTAGATATGATACTAAATGCTGCAGCAAATACATACTGTATTTTTCGAATTATAAGACGGATTAAGCGAAACAAAACAGTCAGATAAGTCAAACTTTACTCAACTCATTCTTCCTGCTTCCTCCACTTGCGTACCATTGATTCATTAATGTTAAAGTCTCTCGCAGCTCGTCTGTTGTTGCAGTTTATTAATGACTAACCTGGTATTGTGGATGGATTATCTCAGTTGTTCTCCTAAATGAAGTTTGGTCCGTTTACAGCATCCTGCCATGCGATTGCATTTGTCCCTAACCATCGGGAACCCTCACATTAACTTTTATCGAGTGGAAAAAAGTTGGCTTTCATCCTCAAGCTTCACTGTGTTTATGCTATGCTAACATAGCTGTGTAGCTAGCCACCATGTAGCACATGTAGCTAACTTCCTGCTAACTTCTAACTCAGTTTAATTTAATAACTTCTGTTTTCATGGATGCCTGGATGTTAGACTTAATTGTTACACCTGGTAAAGCAGCAACGCTGATCATTTTATTACAGATGAAAGAATTTAGACAGTTTTTTACTCTCAGTGTTTGTTTGACTTCGGGATCTGAAGCAGACGGAGTTTTGGACCCAGATTCCTCTTGACTACAGTAGCCATAATGTTCCAACAAACCATCAAGAGGTGTGGCTTTGTAGCTTACCAAAGTCATACTAAAACATTTTTTGACAGATTTTTGAGAGCCGTGTACCACAGAAAATCAGTTCGAGGTCAATAAGCACAACCAGAATTCATACATAAGGCGCACCAGATTATAAGGTACACTGTCGATTTTTGAGAAAATTAAAGGATTTTAAGTGTGCTTTATTGTCCAAAAAATACAAAAGTACAAATAATCTCCAGTCAATGAGAATATGTCATCCTTGTTTTTATTGTATGGTTCCTCTAAGTCTTAGTAATCAAGTCAACACTCATTCTAAATGAGACATATTAAAAACTATGTATTTTCCCCAGAATAGTACATGATGCCTTTCTCCACAATACAGTTTAGTTTTTATAGGGCTGGGCCATATCATACCTTTCACGGTAATACCGGTATAATGTTGGGCAACGATAAGAAAATGAAATATCGCGATAGAATATGGATAAAATGCGCATGCGCAGTGCTTTTGTTTTCATACGCACATGGTGGAAAAAGCATGGTGGCGATGGAGAATGAGAAGGGCGATGGAGAATGAGAAGGGCGAAAGCGGCTTTCGTCCATCAGATACACAACAAAGCACTATTTTTGGTAGAGCATGCTAGCGGGCTGTCGTTATTACCGTGTTTTTTGGAAAATACGGCACACTTCTGAAAATCAACAGTGCCCCTTATAATCCCATGTGCCTTATGTATGAATTCTGGTTGTGTTTACTGACCTCGTAATGATTTTATGTGGTACACGGCGCTCGAAAATCTGTCAAATGTTTCAGTACAACTTTGCTAAGCTACGAACCCACACCGCTTGATGGATTGTCGGAGCATTACGGCTATTGTAGACAGGAGCCTCATGGAGAGATACGTACTGTGCTTCAACATAATATTACCGTATTGTGTGTGTATAACCTCTTTTTAAGTTTTGTGGATATTATACATGTTTATGCTGAGGATATGTCGGCCAGTTTCCACTGGAAATGCTTTTTGGTTAAACTGTCAGCAAGGAATTTGCACTGTTACGTTTTTATATAACTTTAATGCACATAAAAAACAGCTGCTTGTTTAAGTGAAAATAAATTGATGGGGGTTTTTTTGCACTAATAAAGTTGTGGAGTTGTAAAGTATTTTGTCTAGTATCAATTATATCGTCAGTTATATCATTATCGCAAATTTTCAAATGTATATCGTGATAAATATTTTTGGTCATATCGACCTGTTCTAAGTGTTTACATGACTTAGCGATCAGAGGGTTAACACATATTACCTCCTTCTATTGTTGTTATGGTCAACTGTAACCCATGCCATCTTAACCAAATATAGAGCTGAATAACTAGTTTTTGCAGTTCCCATCACAAGCTCCCCATACAAATCCTAACATCAGTAAGATGGAAACATTAGTGGGACAGCTGCTTTCTTAGTAAATGGGCACCATCACCTCAAAGCAAGAGGACAAAGACGTGCACGTGAGGTTAACCGTAGATAAAGTGTGTAGAAGGGGACAGCATAACATCTACCAAAGTAGGGTTAAAATGTGACTTGGAGTCGAAAGTGCTTTGATTCATAGTGACATCACAATTTTAGCTTACTATACTGTAAAATAAATGTTGGTTGCCCAATGCGGCAGCTATATTCAAGCAGTACCAACTGCACATGAAATTCCCTGGGAAAATGGAGGTTCAAGTGTGCAACCAAAACAGGAAGAGGATTGTGCTTTTCACAGGTAAATGAAATCACGGACAGTTGGAAAACCATAATAACTGAGCAAACTCTGGTTGCAAAAGCCTGAAGCAGGAGTAAACCTTAGTTTGGCTTGATCTGAGACTTAAGGCTTCAAAACCTACATTTAGTTTATTTCTATTAGATCAGCAAGTAAAAGAGTCTGTCTCCTCATCAGCCCAACAAAAGAGGACGGCGATATCGTCTTTGCTAATAACCATCACATTGATTTTATGGACATTTCTTTAACAAGAGATGGGCGGTTCTAAATATCAAGGCCTGGTTTGCATGCTGCAGAAACAAGCTAACTCAACATCAGTTAGTTACTCTGATGCATACTCCACACAATGAAGTATGCATTTTAATTAGATGGGTTTAACATAGACGTTACCAGAATACTAAGAGACAAGTTAAGATCATCTTTCAGTCCCGATGTATGATCGGCTAGCTTAGATAAGGCGTGCCCCTTTGTTTTCCTGCACCGATGAGCTCAGAATAGTAGAAAAATAAATGCCTTACTTACTAGGTGATTAAAGTAAATTCACATCTCTTAAAAATGCATTCATCTCAAAAGCCATGATGTATTCTCTCCATCTTTTCTGGTTTTATCAGTAAAAAGTTGTGATATCTTATCAAACTGCTGCCCTGGTATCAGGACCTGCATAATGCTGAAATTTTGCATGTCAGCAT